AAAAAAAAAAAAAAAAAAAAAAAAATCGAAGCTGAGGGGATGATTGAGAGCCTGAAAACTCCAGGGTCTGTGAGGCCGGCAGTGACCAATAGGAAAGGAACTGCAGGTGGCAAGAGCCACAGCTCGAAGAATAGAACGCAGGCTGGGGTAGCCGGAGTAAGAGGGATGGGGCCTGAAGGCTGGAGGAGGAGGCATCCATCACAGACAAGGCCAGGCTGAGGGCATCAGAAAAGGGGCCTGAGCTTGACCTGCAGAGGTCTTGACCCATTATAGTCTGGGCTGAGGTTGGTAGGGCATGGAAAGGCTGTGCATGAGGGGTGGGGCCAGGGCGGGGACCCTCCTCATTTAGAAAAATCAACACTGGGGGCAGGTCTTTGGAAGGGCGGAGGTTGCACCCTAGTAGTTTCAGGACTCCCTACCAGGGCAGGGGCCGGGATCATCTCTCCAGCTACCTACCAGGTCAGAGACTAAGAATGTCAGCCGTCCAGAGACATTCCGGTGATGAACCAGGTCACTGGGGGCCTTGGCACAGTGGCTTCTGACAAATCTGTAAAGAGTAGTTGGCTATTTAAACAATGAATGAGGGTGTCCCAGTGTCCTGGGCTTTCCTGAATGCTTTCTTCCCCTGCAGTTCCCCGCTCGGCTGAATGGCTCTAGCCCAGGGCCTGGAAACCCACCCCGCCTGCCCTTTAGTGACCCGTTCTTTGTGGTGGAGACGCTGTGTATCTGCTGGTTTTCCTTCGAGCTGCTGGTACGCTTGCTGGCCTGCCCGAGCAAGGCGGTGTTCTTCAAGAACGTGATGAACCTCATCGATTTTGTGGCCATCCTTCCCTATTTCGTGGCGCTGGGCACGGAGCTGGCCCGGCAGCGAGGGGTGGGCCAGCCGGCCATGTCACTGGCCATCCTGCGGGTCATCCGATTGGTGCGTGTCTTCCGCATCTTCAAGCTGTCCCGGCACTCAAAGGGCCTGCAGATCTTGGGCCAGACTCTTCGAGCCTCTATGCGTGAGCTGGGCCTCCTCATCTTCTTTCTCTTCATCGGTGTGGTCCTCTTTTCCAGCGCAGTCTACTTTGCTGAAGTCGACCGGGTGGACTCCCATTTCACCAGCATCCCCGAGTCCTTCTGGTGGGCGGTGGTCACCATGACCACAGTTGGCTATGGAGACATGGCACCCGTCACTGTGGGTGGCAAGATAGTGGGCTCTCTGTGTGCCATCGCTGGCGTGCTGACCATTTCTCTGCCCGTGCCCGTCATTGTCTCTAACTTCAGCTACTTTTACCACCGGGAGACAGAGGGCGAAGAAGCCGGGATGTACAGCCATGTGGACACGCAGCCCTGTGGCACACTGGAGGGCAAGGCCAATGGGGGATTGGTGGATGGGGAGGTGCCTGAACTACCACCTCCGATCTGGGCGCCCCCCGGGAAACACCTGGTCACCGAAGTATGAGGGACAGTTGAGGTCTGCAGGACCTCACACCTCCTTGGAGGGAGGGAGGGCGGGCAGGGTGGAGGGAAAGGCTGGGGGGAGGGGATTGGGCTTAGGAAGAGCTAGGTTAAGTGATAATGGGTGGGGGAGCACTGAGTCTTGTTGGGTCTTGGGATGTGTGGTTTGGTAGCTCTTGTGGGTACCTCCTTACGTAGCAATGGATGTCAGTGGGTTGTGTTGAGTTCGGAGGATTCCATTGGTTCATATTGCATTGATTGTACAGAGCTAATGGGGCCTTTGGGGGTGATGTTGAGATGGGTTTGCTGATATCATTTTGTGAGTTTCCTAGGTCAATGTTGGGTTGGGTTGCGAGTCCAGGTAAGTGTATTCCAATGGCATTGTGTAGTATTCTGTGGTTTTATGGATCCAACATGGCATTGTTAGATGGTCACCCATGGCATTGTTGAGATTGATTGTGTGGTCACGCATGGTGTTGAGTTGCATTAAAACATGTGGCTTTGGAATTCTTCTAGGGCCATGGTATTTTAGGTTCTGTGAACTTGTGAGTCATATAGAAATGTGAAGAGTCAAGTGATAAGAGTGTGAACTTCTAGGTCACACTGGGTTAAGTTGGATTGGAATGGATGACCAAATTAGTCTTGTAGGCTTCTGTTCGGCTGAGTTATGTAGAGTTATGTGGCTGGAAGTTTTTCAGGGTCACGTTGAGTTGAGCTGTGTTGAGTTCTATAACCATGTGAGTCTTGTACAGCCAGTTTAGGTGGGTCATACGACCTCTTGAGTCTCATAGGGCCATGCTAAGTTGAGTTACATTGAGTTGTGTCATTGTGTGAGTCTTGTAGGAATGCTGGGTTGAGCTGGATGTGTGAATGAGTTCCATAGGGCCACATGGGGTTGTTCTGCATGTAAGTGATAGCACCAGGACCCAAGGATAAGAGCACTGGGGAAGAATCATGTATCAGGGAGCAAGCGTGATGGTGTAGACTCTGGAAGATGTCCTGAGCCAGCATCCCCAGTGTTAATGCCATAGGGAATAGAGCTGGATTCTGTATCCATGGGTTCAGGGGTTCATCTGGAGGTGTTTGGGGTGAATTAGGAAGAGGTGGATGTGCCTGTTTACCCCACATGCACTTGGGTTTGCCATTCAAGCCCTGCCCCCCCACCCTCCCCTACAGGGTTGCTCCCAGGCATGGAGGTCAGAACCACAAGAGAAGGGGCAGAGGGCGGAAAACTATACTCTGTCCAGACATGATGGAGGGACAGAAACCATGATGGAGGGTGACAGAGACCAGGGGAGGAATAGAGACCCAGAGAGAGGAAGTGATAGAAACTCAGTGAAGAAGCCAGGTGCGGTGGCTCACACCTGTAATCCCAGCACATTAGCAGGTGGAGGCAAGAGGATTGCCTGAGTCCAGGGGTTCAAGACCAGCCTGGGCAACTTGATGAGTCCTCATCTCTACAGTTAATCAGAAAAATTAACCAGGCATGGTGGCATATGCCTGTGGTTCAGCTACTTGGAAGGTTGAGGCTGAAGGATTGTCTGAGCCCTGCAGGTCGAGGCTGCAGTGACCATGATCATGCCACTGCACTCCAGCCTGGGCAACAGAGTGAGACTCCAACTCAAAAAAAAAGAAAACCCAGAGAAGAGGTGACTAAGACTCAGAGAGAGGAACAGAGATTCGGGAAGACAGAGACAAAGATCTGGGGAAAGAGGAGGTGGCAGGCAGAAACCCAGAAGAGGGGAACAGAGTCCAGAGTGAGAGGGTGACAGAGACCCAGAAGGTGGTGTCAGGCACCAGAGAGAAAGGGGCACACACCCAGAGGTGGAGACAGACCACAACCAACAAGGAGGAAGGCAGAAAAAGTCAGAGTCCCTGAGCCTGGGAGAGATGCGGAGTGTTTACCCCACAGTCATAAAGAGAGCCTAGGGCCAGATGCGGTGGCTAATGCCAGCACTTTGGGAGGTGGAGGCAAGAGAATTGTCTGAGTCCAGAGGTTCAAGACCAGCCCGGGCAACTTGGTGAGACCTCGTCCCTACAATAAATCAAAAAATTAGCCAGGTATGGTGATGTGTGCCTGTAATTCCAGCTACTTGGAAGGCTGAGGTGGAAGGATTGCCTGAGCCCAGCAGGTCGAGGCCATGAGCATGCCATTGCATTCCAGCCTGGGTGACAGAGTGAGACTCCAACTCAAAATAAATTAAATATATAAGTGGATCCTAAACCAACGTGTCACCCACCCACCCTCTCCGAAGCTGTTGGACAGGCGAGGGCCTCACTCTGTCTTCCAGGGGAGAAATCTGAGTCTCAGAGCAGGGGCACAGCTTCCCAATGTTGCATGAGGTCCCCCGGGGACCAGGACTACCTGCTCCATGTCCCCAACAGCCTGCTGGTGTACGTGGGACCCCTGCCAAGTCCAATAAGCCTCATTTCTCACAGGCAAGGAAACCGAGACTTGGAAGGGTAGGTCACCCAAGGTCACAAAGCCAAAACTTTTCGGAGGCCTTTTGAAACTAAAAGGGCATTTAGAGGAGCAGGAGGATGGTTAAAATCACTAACACATATAGGGCTTCCTATGTGCCAGGCACCATTCAAAGCACTTTATTGTATTCATTTATTAAAACCCATCCAGTGGTTTACAGAGTGTTGTTGTTATTTTTAATTGTAACCTTCTCCCTTCCCCCTTTTTTTGGTCACATAAAATCTTCCTTCGAGCCGGGCTCGGTGGCTCAGCCTGTAATCCCGCACCTTTGGGAGGCTGAGGTGAGTGGATTGCCTGAGCCCGCGGGTTCGAGATCCGCCTGGGTAGGCGAGATCTCATCTCTACAATAAATCAAAAATCAGCCTGGTGTGGTAGCACACGCCTGTAATTCTGGCTACTCGGAAGCCTGAGGTGGAAGGATTGCCGGAGCCCAGCGGCTTGAGGCTGGGGTGGCCGGAAGCAGCCACTGCACTCCAGTCTGGGTGACAGAGTGAGACTCTGACACACACACACACACACACACACACTCACATACACAAATCTTCCTTTGGCCAGGTGCAGTGGCTCAAACCTGTAATCCCAGCACTTTGGGAAGCTGAGGTAAGGGGATTGCCTGAGCCCACAGGTTTGAGAACAGCCTGGGCAACTTGGCGAGATCTTGCCTTTACAATAAATCAAAAAATTAGCCAGGCGTGGTAGCACACGCCTGTAGTTCCAAGCTACTTGGAAGGCTGAGGCAGAAGGATTGCTGGAGCCCAGTAGGTCGATGCTGGGGTGGCCGTGAGTGTGCCACTGCATTCCAGTCTGGGGGATGGAGTGAGATTCCAACTCAAAAATAAAAAAAAAATAAATAAATAAAATCTTCCTTTGAGGTGCCAGAACAGAGGGGAACCGTTTTGAGTCCTTCTCAGCAACCCAAAGTGCAGCTGAGGAATTCAGTACAGAAACCCCTGGTTTAATCCAACCACCTTTTTTTACTAGAGAGAAGGCACAGATTGTGAGAAGTCTGATAACGGGTGAAAAGAATATAAACTTTAGGTAGTGACTGCTCTCTGGAATAGAAAGCCACATTTAGGGACAGAAATGGAGGCAGACCTCACAGTGACAAGAGACAAGACAGCTCAGAGGGACAGACTCCAGCCTAGAGACCCAAAGAGGAGGAGCTATGTCCAGAGAGGAACTGAGGCCTGGAGAGAGGACAGAGACCGCCCTCGACCTTTTGGATAAGATCAAGTATGAAGAGAAGGTAGGAAGGCAGAGGGCAGAGACCTAGAAAGAGGGGGGGGAAGAGAACCAGAGAGGGGACAGAGAAGGGGGGACAGGCAAGAGACCCAGAGAGAGAGAGGTTAGAACCAAGAGAAAGGGGAACAGAGATGCAGAGAGGGGGAGACAGAGACCCAGAGAGAGAGAGAGAGAGAGAGAGTGCAAGGGACCCTGGGAGAGAGAGAGAAAGAGAGAGAGGGCAAGGGACCCGGAGAGAGAGAGAAAGAGAGGGCAAGGGACCCGGAGAGAGAGAGAAAGAGAGACAGAGATCCAGAGAGATGGGGGGGAGATGGAGACCCAAAGAGACAGAGACACAGAAAGAGGGGGACAGAGACCCAGAGAGAGAGAGAGAGCGCAAGAGACCTGGCTAGCGGGGGAGATGGAGATCCAGAGAGAAGGTGACAGAGAGACAGACAGAGACCCAGAGAGAGGAGGATAAAGAGTCAGACAGAGACCCAGAGAGAGGGGAACAGAGAGAGAGAGAGAGAGAGAGAGCATGCAAGAGACCCAGACAGAGAGAGACCCAGAGAGGGGAAAGAGATCTAGAGAGAAGGGGACAGAAACCCAGACACAGGCGGACAGAGACCCAGACAGAGAGAGAAAGACCCAGAGAGAGAGAGAGACTCAGAGAGAAGGGGACAGAGACAGAGAAAGAGAGACAGAGATCCAGAGAGATGGGGAGGGAGATGGAGACCCAGAGAGACAGAGACACAGAAAGAGGGGGACAGAGACCCAGAGAGAGAGAGAGAGAGAGAGCGCAAGAGACCTGGCTGGTGGGGGGAGATGGAGATCCAGAGAGAAGGTGACAGAGGGACAGACAGAGACCCAGAGAGAGGAGGATAAAGAGCCAGAGAGAGAGAGAGAGACAAAGACCCAGAGAGAGGGGAACAGAGAGAGAGAGAAAGAGAGAGAGAGAGAGAGAGAGCGCATGCAAGAGACCCAGGGAGAGAGAGAGAGGGGAAAGAGATCTAGAGAGAAGGGGACAGAAACCCAGACACAGGGGGACAGAGACCCAGACAGAGAGAAAGACCCAGAGAGAGAGAGAGAGAGAGAGACCCAGACAGAGAGAGAAAGACCCAGAGAGAGAGAGAGAGAGAGAGACCCCCAGACAGAGAGAAAGACCCAGAGAGAGAGAGAGACCCAGAGAGAGAGAGAGAGAGAGACTCAGAGAGAAGGGGACAGAGAGAGAGACAGAGACAGAGACAGAGACATAGAGAGAGGGGGACAGAGACCCAGAAAGAGAGAGTGGGGGCAAGAGACTGTTTCCTAGTTACTTTTGTTTGAAAACTCATCCCTGCTACTACCTTGGGGACTGGAAGTTCCAAGGGTCTTCATGGTAGGGGTAGCACGTGCTGAGTGTCTAGGGATGGGGGAGGTGTGGAGCAGCCAAAGAGGTGACTCGCCTGAACACTTGAAGCCTGGGAAGTGGCCCTTCCCCACCTCCAATAAACAACTGGAGCCGCCTTCTGGGTGGCCCTGGCTGGGACAGGGAGGAGTGGAGGGGAACACCCTAATCCGGGGACACCCTTCCTGCCACCTTGCCATGCTATATTTAGGCTGAGAGAAGGATGCGGGATGACCCCCTAGGGCGGGTGTCAGTTTTCCTTCTGAAAATAGCTCAGGGGGAGGGGGGCCGAGTCTCGGTGGAGGCGTGATAGGGTGAGGGGTCCTACTGCCCCAGGACTGTCACTGCTCCCACCTCCTTCCCTCAGAGGCTGTCTCCCTTTTGGGGCTCTGTCCCCTTCTCTTGTGGCGTCTGCCCTCTCTCTGGGTCTCTGTCTTCTCTTACGGGTCCCCCGCTCTCCCCAGGTCTTTGTCTCCCTCTTCCTCCGGGTCCCTCTCCCCTTTTCCTCTGTTTCTGTGCCTTCCGGCCTCTCGCCTCTCGTCTCTCCCTTCGTCACTGCTCACCGTTTCTCTGAGCAGGTCGTTCTATGCTTAAAACATATCTTTGTCTATGTCTGAGTCCTGTGATGTCATGAGTGTCTCGTATCTGAGCTCTGGGCAAGACCCTCTCCCAGGGAGTCCACACCCAGGAAATTCCAGGAGAGAGGACTCTGTGGGAGAGCCCCCCACATCCACTGTCTCCCCAGGCCTTATCGCTGCCCAAGCCCAGCTGGTTAATGTCTGGCGTGGGCTCCTGGGAAGTGGGGATGAGAGCAGAGGGTGGGAATCTGCCCCGAGATTGACGCAGAATTGGCAGAAGACCGCAAAGGAATCTCAGACCCAGACTCCTGGGGCCAATGGAGGAGGCTGGGGCTGGCCTCCTGAGTAGGAGACAGGAGGAGGCTGGAGACTGTTTGCTCAGACTCCTGGGGCTGGGGGAAGCAGTGGCAGGGGTTTGAACTCCTGGGTCTGAGGGAGGAGGGGCTGGGGGCCTGGACCCCTGGGTCTGAGGGAGGAGGTGCTGGGGGCCCGGACCCCTGGGTCTGAAGGAGGAGGGGCTGAGGTCTGGACCCCTGAGTCTGAGGGAGGAGGGGCTGGGGGCC